TTTTTAATAATCAATTTATTTGATGGCGTTTAATAAAATGAATAATAGATTTGATTATATTAGTGTATCCATATTATACAAATTACTTACACACACGATGTCTTAAGAATAATCTTACTTCAATTTTTTGTTTGTACATGTTTGTAAAACAAATCTGTACATATATTTAATATTTCCACTCTCATCTGCAAAGGAAATAACATCTCCGTGATTTAAAACTTGATAATTATGTTGGTCATCAGGAATTTGCACACAATTTACATAAGTTTCATTGCCTGTTCCCTGTAGTACAGATATTGTTTATAAACTTAGAATTAATTATTTTCTTTGATAGCTAAATTAATATAAACATGCAATCAAAAATTTTAAGTCTTACATTGTTACAAATAAGATATTGGCCATTGGATTTATGTATAAAACAATGTCTTCGTGCTATAGATTCTTCTTCAATTAGGAGTGAACAGGCAGGAGAACGTCCAATAACAAACTGCAGAGTTTAATATACCAATTTAACCATTTTAAAGAAAAATAAAGTATATTGTAAAATATAAAACAAAGTTAAGATGGCTTAAAGTTAATATAGATATTATTTTCATATAAAAATATATGTATTTTTAATAAGTTCATCTTAACACTTAAATTGATTTTATTTCCTAAAGAAAAAATCTACCTCAGTTTCTCCAATAGGATAGCTAATGCCATTAGCCAAGCACTGTAATGTTGCATCACCAGTTATATCAGAACAACTGTTACTTCTTTTTAAGCTCATTTTATTTTTTATCTCTTTTAATATTTAAGGTATTCAGTTTCAAATCTATCATATAAATACACTTTAAAGTAATGAAAGTATTTGTTTTGATTTAAAAACATTCGAAACTATGGTAGCAGATGATAATTACATACTGATAATACAAAATAGAACAATTTTATAAAAGTTTATAGAAAATAATAATGTTAAACAATTAAGTAACTGGAGTCAATTTTGATGAATAATACGTCAAAAGATCACAAATTGTATCTAGTCAAAGACATTACCCTCCAAAATTGATAAAGATTCCCTCGTTCCCCGTAAATGGAGGAAATCACCCAAAAAAATTACAAATTTAAAAATCGTTAATTTTCAAAATTTTTTCAACTTTTTTTACTAAAAACTGCCGTAACTTTTTTAAAAATAAACGTATCAATATAATTTTTTTTTTTTTATAGATACCTTAGATATTTACCTATTATTTTATATATATTTGTGAAGATTTGACCCTTTAACAGCCCACAGAAATGGTTTCAAATGATAATTTTTTACAAAAAATTAACTCTTTCAACTTGACTTTTGGAAATTTTCCGGAAAGACTGACAATTTTATATATATCTTAAATTAAAGCGTATGTGATGTACTTTATTATGAAAAAAAAAATTTCGGACTTTATTCTGTCTTCAGGGTTAAATTTGGTCTCCGAATGCTATTTTTGTATAAAAATTTTCGATTTTGTATTTTACATTTTTAACTTTATTATGCTATAACTTTTTGAAAAATGTATGGATCATTACAATTTTTTCATGAGAAGTAGTATTTATATACATCTTTCATTCGACATACTGTTTTTTCAAATCGGACCATTTCGCTTAATACAGGGGAGGTTCAAATCTAAAAAATGCACGTAGAAAGTAGAACTTAATTTTTGAAAGTGTTCCAGAAAGTCTGACACTTATATATATATATTAAATTAAAGCTTATGTAATATTCTTTTTTATGGTAAAAAAAAATTTCCGACTTTATTTTATCTTCATGGTGAAAACAGACATCAAAGTTAATAAAAAAAATACGATTTTTGTAAAAACATTCTTTTTTATATTTTTAACTTCATAATGCTATAACATTTTGAAAGATCTATGGATCAATATAACTCTTTTTTTGATAGATGCATGATGGGTTTACCTATCATTTGGTATATTTTTTTTATAAATCTGACTTTTTACCTACCTACAGGGGGGGATTAAATATGACAACTTTTTCACAAAAAATTTACTTTTTCAATTTAAATTTTGAAATTGTTCCGGAAAGTCTGACACTTTTATATATATCTTAAATTAAAGTTAATGTAATATACTTTATCATAAAAAAAGAAAATTTTGGACTTTATTCTATCTTCACGGTG